GCCGGGGCCGCCGCGCTGCCTCCCCGCCCCCGCCGGGATTCACTGAGTATTTGGACGGGACGATCAAGTGGCCCTGATGATGTTACCAAGCCCGGTCACCTCCACCCCTTTCTCAGTCAAAGACATTCTCAACTTGGAGCAGCAGCACTTCGGCGGCGCGCACTTGCAGGCGGACTCCCTGGAGCGCCCCTTCCACTCGGCGCCCTGCGCGCTGGCCGCGGCCGACGGGACGCAGTTTTCCGATGGAGGGGAGGACGACGAGGACGAGGAGGGCGACAGACTGTCCTATTTGAGCTCGCTGGCCGCAGCCGACGGCCACGCGGATGCGGGGCTCTGTCCCCAGAGCTACGTCCACGCGGTCCTGCGAGACTCGTGCAGCGGCCACAAGGAACAAGACGAGGAGCCCGAGGCCGTGAGGGACCCGAGCCAAAGTGAGTAGGGGGAAAGGAAACGCGCCCGCGCACCTGGAGCGATGTCGGGGCGCCCGCGAGCAGCCCACGAGCCCTGCGGGCACGGCCGCCGCCCCTTGAGCCCGGGACTGGGTCTTGCCCCCGCCAGGGCGACGGCAGCTCCGCCGAGCGCGGGTGCCTGCGAGGGAGCCGGGCGGAGAAAGCAGGAGAGGTGACCCCGACGACGACCCCCCAGGGGGGCACACGACGCAGCCCCCCAGGGGAGGGAAGTGGTGGTGGCTGCCCTGATGAAGCTGGCCACAGGAGCTCAGCTGCCGGTGCCCAGAGCACACAGTATTTGCGACTCTGCCCCCAGAAGGGCTCTTCCCCCAAAGGGGCAGCGGCCTGAATCTTTTCGGCCTTCCTTCTAGCGTGAGACGAGTTCTTAGGCCGGGAGGCCGCTTTTCTCCCAAAGGACAGCCCGGGCAGGCTGCGTCCTCGGGGCGCAGGGACTTCGCGGAGCCCAGCTGGGAGGTTCCCAACCTTCTCCGCTTGGAGCTCAGCGTCCTTGAACCGGTGACGCGGGGCGGAGAGGGAGGGGCGGTCTGGGAGCGCGTGGGAACGCAGCCTGCGGGGCGGCCACAGCTCACACCCCCGAGGCGCCAGCCTCTTCTGAAAATTGGCGACGTTTTGCTTTGTGTCCCAGGCTGCGGCCCGAATAGAAAACGCGCCGACCGCAGGGCGGGATCCCGGCCGCTCACATCGGACGGGTGGTGCCTTGGGCAGGGAGATGGGGTCACCGGACAAGCCCCCGAGGAAGTGTGCATCTGAGGGGACCCGAGTCAATGAGCCCCTTCCCCCAAGAGGAGGCTCGATGTGGCCGAGGCCGAGGCCTGCGCCCCGGCAGCGCCCGGGCCTAAAATCCCCGCGGGGCTGTCCACAGCCAGCCGTCCGACTCCGTCTCCTCCCCAAGGCCCCGCAGACCCCGTCACTCGCGCGTCTGCCTGG